ACCCCTCATTCTTGACCCCCCAGCCCTGCTGGCACCCCTCACTCCCCCCGCCCTGCCAGCACCCCTCACTCCTGACCCACAGCCCCCTTCCCCCACCAGCCCTACTGGAGGGAGCCCTCAGATTCCTCCGTCCCAACTGGGCTAGAGTGCAGCAGCTGTGGTGGCTCCAAAATCATGTGGGCAGCAGCAGAGCGAGTCTGGCCTCTGCACAGACTGGAGGGAGGAGGAGGGGAGTCCTGTGGCACCTGCTGCCGTGAGATGAGGCACCTGCACCATGCCAGGTGGCCTGGCCACGGCCCGCTCCTTCGGCAGCATCTCACGGCCGCCCTGCGCCTGCAAGCACGGATCACCCCACCCTTGCCCGGCCATGCAGCTCCCCGCTGCCCCCGAAGGGCCGTCCCACCCCTTCCCTTGCTGGAGGGGTAGGTGCTTCCCTCCCTCGCACCCTGCCCTGCCACAGCCCCAGTGCCCAGACAGGTTCACAGAGCTTCGGCAGGCACCCACCCCTCCCCACATGCCCATCCTCTCCACATACCCCTGCCCCCACCCCCCCCACCCACACACACACAAAGCTTCTCCAGACATTCCCCAAGCCCTAGCTCTCCAACCTCCATGCCCCATAAACTTACCTACATCCAACTACTGGAGCTACCCTCACCACCCTACCTGGCTGTATGCTGGCCACATGCATGTGCACATGGGACCCCCTGTCTCCAACTGTCCCAAGCAGCTCCTTGCAGGCTGGAAGGCTACCAGCCTGGAAGGGGAAATCTGTGGTTTCTTCCTTTAAAGAGGAAAATCAGCATTTTTCTGCAGCAAATGGAAAACCCGGATCCCTGGTAAACACACATGCCACTAGGACAAGCCAGGAAGTGCAGTTCTACCAGCAAAATCCAGGACATTTGTTCTATTTTAAAAAACTGCCCAAACAGAGATCGGAGGACCCAAAGAGAGGACGTATCTGGGAAAACACAGATGTATGGCAACCCCAGTGTAATGCTATTTCCAATACTTTTACCTCCTAGCAGAAAGTGAAAGCAGTTTTAAAAAAATATTGCAAAGCAAACGGAAATTTAGTAAAATGTGAAGATTGGGAAGGAAAAAGAATCATCTTTGTACTTATCTATGAGGTAGGGATCTTTCCAATGTTGAATATCATTTAGATATTGTTTCTGGTGTGGCTGTGCACATGGCTATTAGTAAACTCGCTGGGTGTTTACATCAATATTGTCTCCTATTATTTCCTGTTACTTGAAGTCTCAACTCAGTCCTATTTCTTTGTTTCCTAAGTCAACCATAAGAAAATAAGCGTAAAAGTTTTAAAATACACAATTCTTTCTCCTTTTATTTGTGTTGATGTATCAAAGGCCTTCAAAGCCCCACAAGCTACAGGGTTTTTCCCCTGCTCATTTTAATACCTCAGAAATTCTTGTATATCAGGAAAGTGAATCTTGGCAAAATCCAAGCCTGCTGATTGTGAACTAGAACAGCTTCACTGAACATATAAGCCTGTTAACTTTACCATTTTTCAAAAAAAGGAAAAAAATCACTGAATCTAAACAATGCAAAATCCTGAGAGGGAAGGGTATTTTTAATAAGACTGATTGTTCAACTTTTAGTCACACCAGTTCTCTAATCAGTCTTCTAGAGCAGACAAGACATGAATTTATAATGTAAAAAGGTGGGGGGGAGGTTGATCATTAAACACCTTGGCCCCATTTATACACCAAGACAGACATAAAAGCCCATTTATTCCTCTCTACAGGTTGCCTTGTTTTTATACTACATTTACTTTTCCTTTACAGCTTGTTCTAACTCCCTCTGTGGCCTAGATAAGAGAAAAAAAAATTATCAAAACTTTTTCCTGTTTCCGTATGTTTATCAGGGAGCACCAAAAAGTCCCTGCCTTGAAGTTACTCTTGCCCGCAGCTAACTGTAGTTGTTTTCTACACAGTGCTTGCTGAGCTACAGGGAGCTCTTTGGCTCTTTACCTATGGCTCTTGACAAAAAAAGGCCACAAGCTTTTTTCTTTTTAACCATGCATCAGACTTGTATATCATGCAATAATATATTGTATATTTTTCTTTTGAACTGGAGTCTTTGCCACAGATCTGTATAAGTTGTGTCTCTTCTATTAGCACCGACTGCTCACGTGGCTTCTAAATATCCTTGTTGTATCTACTTGCTTCACTCTCCTAGTTAGGTGAAACTTTAACAGAAGCTCTCCCTTTCTGCTTAGTCGCACCAAATAGCAGTCTCACTTTGAAGGCCAGAAACATCCTTTTTGCAGCACTTTTGGTAAATGGGGCATTAGTGAGTCCATAAAAATACTTGTTTACTTCAGCTGAATTTAAAATGAGGCTGCCTTTCCCAGAGAGTAGAAAGATCTACCCTAGCAATACAAGAACGTAGGAGCAGAATGCACAGAAGGAAGAAAGGCCTCATGTTGCGGGACTATTGTAAGAGGATTATGTCTCCATCTGGGAGTGCTGCCAAAGCAAACCTAGGTTAACTTTAGAAAGAAGATCGTTAGTACGTTGGAGATTTTTTTCTGAGATGTAGAAATATATCCAGACTCTGTGGATGTCTGCATGAGAAATTCAAGAGACTATGATGAGGTGAGGCAGCATATTATTTGATTGGAAGGTTTCTGGTTAGGGTGCAGGAGCACGTCACATCTGAAGCGGAAGTAACCAGTAACATAAATTCAAATCACTTATTTAAATTGAAATCTCATGACTGTGACAACAGAAAAGTAGTTTATGTCCATAAGGTTAAAGGCATTAACATTTTTAATAATGAACTTTGCATTTTCACAGCACATTACAACCACTAAGTAATTTAGCCTCAAAACACCTGTGACATAGACAAAAATTAGCCCCAATTTATAAAACTGGAAAGAAAAACACAAAATTAAAGTGACTTGCTAAGGATTTTAAAACAAGTCCGTGAGTGCAAGCTAGAAATTGAAACCAGGAGTCCTGATTTCTGCTCCCATGATCTGATCATCATAGTACACTGGATTTTAAATGTTTATTTATGGGATCATAATTAAAATAGAAACCTTATGCTGTTTTGTTTGGGAATGGTTCAATACCCTGGCCTCAGAATAAATTATTCTGCTTTTAATCATGTGCTTTGTTCTGAAATTTAAAAAAGAGATTACCTTGTAGAACAGCACAAACTCATCCTTTGACCTCCAGTTAACACCTAAGCTTAAAAGACAAACCTTCAAAGATAAGGTAATTTAGAAGGTTAAATGTTCAGCAGTGAGAACAAAATAAAGCTATACGGGGATACTTCTGTGTAGCAGAGATAATGCTGTGGTTCTTTGTTCTACACCCATTGCACTTCACTGTAACAATACATAGGGTGTCACATTTTAGCGTACATTTTCTCTGTGAGAAGCAGGACCAAAGGGTTTATTCCTTCTAGGTTACAGGTATGTAATGTCATGGGAGAGGGGGGTGCAGAGGGTGAGGTGTATCATCACATATGAAATAACACATTGTTCTCTAGTTAAAAATAAACCAGAAGCTTTACTTACATGCTTGGGACCTAGGGCTGGAGTATGTAGTTTAAGACTGAAGCCAAACCAAACATAACTGCACTGAAATGAGTTAAAACCAATCTGTGGGGCTACAAAATAGGAGCTTCCTTACTAGGAGCAGCTAACTGACAGCAAAATTGCAGAACAAAGGCTAACTTGATTGGTGGAACATCAAGACCATTAAAAAGAAGAGAGGGTCGTTAACACCTCTGGAATGAAGAATGTAGAAGGGATCTGGTAGATTACAATAAACCATAAAGTCAAGTGGTTCCCTCAGCACTGCCTGACCAGAAACGCTGCTGCCACTGCCAGGCAGTCAGTTTTAATCTTTGGGAGGAGCCAGGAATTAAAGAGCCATGAAACTGCACCAGTGCAGCCCCCCTTCTTTCCACACCCCACCCCCCCACCAGATCCACCCCTGTTTAATATTATTCCACTGTCCAGTTTGTTGCAAAAATGCAAAAACAAGTCATTAACTTACTATTTAAAAAAATATTCTCCCATCAGCCTCCCAGCATGTTCCTTTTAGATCACTTTTCAAGGCAGAACACTGTCTCCAGCTTTAGTGTTTTTGAGGCAGGGATGTACAGGAAGTTTTTAAATCTAAAAATATGAACATTGCCCCTAATTAAGGAAAGAGCAAACTGTAAGTAACTGTGGGTAGTTACCACTTACTTTTTCGCAGGGTACACAGAATCAGCATTTGTTGATTTTTTTGGTTGTTGGTTTTGCAGATATGCTTAACATCAACCCCTCCAATCAAATTATCAGGGAAACTAATTTCCCCTGGCCTCTGCACTCCCATGTGAAATGCCAAACATCAGAACGACTTTTCTCTGCAGCTAAAACAAGCTGGAAACCTTCCTACAGAACCTATCAGTTGGACAGAGTGATGATTATTCAAGGAAAACAAAAAAGGTTCTCTTTCATACCCAAGAGATTTAAAATATTTTGAAACTTTAAATGCTTATGTATAGCAAACTTGCAAGCACAAATGTTTTTAAGTTAAAACCCTGCCCACAATGGAAGCAGAACTGTGCTAAACAAACAGGTTCAACACAATAGTAGGCACTGTCGTTTTAATTGTTCCCAGGGCAGACAAGAATTTTCAGACCAGTGTGCTAGAAGACTCCATGGTAGAGACAAGCTGTGGCAAGTCCATAACAAAGAATTCTTTTGTTTGCTTTTTGGGGGTTTTTTTGCCATATTACTTGTTACTATGTACATTTGATATGTCACTTCTAATTTTGTTTGACTGAAAATGTTTGAAAGGAGTTTCAAATACAATTAAATTAATCTCAACACAAATTCTCTTAGCAACTCTGCACTGTGGTACAGTGACTGCAGTAGTTTCAAATGAGAACTTTTCTGTGCCTGAATTTTCTACCTGGAACATAGGTGGAGTATCATCCATCCTCAAGAACACATTTGGAGTACATTAGTCTCTCACCTGGATACCCTCATCGAGGAGCGAAGTGACTTTACTTTGTTGTAGTCTAATACAGAGTATCTCCATGCAGACAAGATCTTTGGAAAGAATGAGACGAAAATGTGCTGAGTATTAGAAGAATTATTGTCATGCCATGACTTTTATCCTCTGCATGTGCCTGTGTCAGGTCACCAATTCTGTAATGGAAGAGAAAAATGAAGGAAGACACAGCACAGCCTATTCCCTTTTTCTTATTGCCTCCTCTTTGGCAGCAAAGAGGTAAGGAGAGAGTCGCATAGTTCACAGGTATTGGGTATTCCCATTGTCTAATGCAGGGGTGTCAAAGATATGGCCCATGGGCCAGATCCAGCCCACAGAGCCCCATTTTCCAGCACCTAGTTCTACCCCTGGATCCAGAGTGAACACACACACAGCACACAGCATGTACTAGACCAAACCCACACACCAGTCCTAGGACATGTGCCACATGCAGTGCCTGCTGCAGCTGGTCTGGGACATGTGCCTCATGTGGGACCTGCTCCAGGACCCACAGTGCATGGAGGGATCACCCTGTAGCCCCTCAGGAATGGGCCCAATGTTGCACATGAGGCCCAGACTTACCAGAGTGGGTGTCATGTGTAGGGTATGTCCTGGGCCAGCCCACCTGTGGCACAGTCTGGGACAAGCCAGAGTGAGGACCATGTGCACTGTATCCAGAATGGGGATGAGGAGCAGCTCTGTGGGCCTGCCATTCATCTGGCCCATGGACCTGCCCTGCGGGTCAAATAAGTTTGACACCCCTGGCCTAATGTAATAGTACTGCTGCTTCTTCTACCTACTAGTTCAATCTGTTTTTGTGCTTCTGTGCTTCTCTTTTTGGGTTTCTGTGCAGGTTTTGCAACAAAAAACCTTAATTGCAAATTAAAGAGCTGTGTTTTACATGTTTTACATGTTTCTGCATGAGAAATCAGCACTCCAGCAGTCAGAATTTCCAAGCACTCTATGAGTTCTTTCCACCCCATCTCCTGATGCTTAACAGAGACATACTGCATCCAGTCCCAGACCAGAGGGTAACTAGCCTCTCAGGGCATGTGTAGATGGAACAAAGGGCATGTGTGCACAACACTTTAAAGTGGGTTAAATGCTTTTGCACCGCTTTAATGGGCTGATGTTTACACACGGCGGCGGCACATTGCGCATTAATTCCAGCTGCTGTAACACATTCAATGGTGTAATGCACCTTAAATGACTTTGGGGCACAGCAAACTAAAACTCCTCAGAGGTGTTTTAGTTTGCTCCCCTACAGCCACAGAGCAAAGCATCGGACTTCATGCAGCTCAGGGACTGTGCAGGCAGCCCGTGCAGGCACCCTGGCAGCAACCTGGGAAGACTGGCTCCACCAAAGGAAAAAAAAAAAGCAGCAAGCCTGATCTTTTTTTTTTCTTCCCCCTGGAGAGCCTGCCTGCCTGTATGAGCTGCGCGAGGAATGGTCCTTCCCTCCGTGGCTGCAGTACCCCCTGGGACCACCTAAGCCTGGTACCTGCAGGCGAGTGCTGCCAGGGGGAAGACACCGCTGCCATGGAGGGAAACACCAGCCCTCACCCCCGCACCGCAGCCCAGGGACTGTTCTGCCCACCGGTAGCTTGCCGTCCCCTCCCCGCCACCGGAGAGGCAGATAAAGATCGGGGTCCTACATGGGTGTACATGACATGGGGGTTTTCTTCACCCTAAATAAAAGCGGTGTTTTAAAAAACCCACCAGTTCAATTTATAGTGAAGTAAACCCCCATTTTGTCTACACACACCCTCAGTGCCCTACAGAGTTTCTGTTGAGCACCAGTGAGGTTGGGAGAGTTGGGTAGGAAAGGAATACCAAGAACAGGAGAGCAGAGGTATAGAGATCCAAGCGATGCTGCTGGCACCCCCTCCAACTTGTCACCTGAGACATGTGCCCTATTTGCCCAGCCCTGGATATCCTGTTGTCTCAGAACCTGCTGCTACCAAGATTTCCCAATTTCTGCATGTGATAGGGTGGCCAAGACACCCTGCCACAGTAAAGTGAGGAAGAATATAAGGAAACAAAACTTACCGGAGGACGCTGAAGAAACTGCGCCAAGCTGAGGCAGGAAAGATGCTGTGCCCCAACTAATTAAAGGAACCAGATGGGGCCACAGCAGTTCAAAGGCTGTCACGGTAAGCCCCGCTGCCAGAGTTCAAGTCTGGGACAAGGAAAATGGTGTGGCAGATGGGAAAGAGGAAAACCACTTTGAAAAAGAAAAAGGAAAACAGCTGTGTCCAGAAGATAGCGAATCAGATGCTGCCACAGGGGACACAGTGGAGGAAATAGGGAATTTAAAGGGACACTGAGGGAGCATCCGGGGTTGGTCCGGAGAAAAGGGGAGGAAGGTGTAGATAGAGAAGACGAGAGGAGTAACTGACCCTGAAGCTTGGAGGAAAGCCTTGGTCCCCAAACTTACCTGAGAAGAGCCAGCGAAGCAACGGAGGAGACCACTCTGTCAGTGGGTCCAGTCCCAAGGGGTGAAAATAACTGCTTCAGGACCCTAAAAGAAAGAAGAGATGGGAGGGGTGAGTCCATCCTGGCCCTGAAGGTAAGGGCAAGATTAGAACTGAGAGGTGGCTGTCTTGGGACCCGTGCAGGGAAGAATGAGGCAAGCAGCCAACTTAACAGAAGACCCCACCTAGGGGGCTCACAGGGCTAAGACCAGACTCTCCATCCAGTAGGCAATCAACAACAATCCTGGAACATCTTGTGTGGTTAGGGCAGGGTATGAGGATGGTGGAGCCCTGCAAAGATAAGCGGACCTCCTGAGCCTTCAACTGAGTTTTTGTCTCTCAGACTGTTTGGTACCTCTCTCTGTAACCATCCAGGCATGGCAGGAGAATTTTCAAAGGACAGAACACAATTGTTACAGCAGAGACACAACTTGGCTCCAGGCAGCACAACCCAGCTCCCTTACACTTCAGCTGAACAAGTCACCACAAACATGATTTTCAATCCTGTTCTCCCTGCCTTCCTCCTAATTAATATAGAGTAGCACAGGGTTACCATATGTACAGGTGTTCCTGGACATGTCCTCTATTTGGGTCCTCCCATCTCTATCCAGGTGGGTTTTTTTTTAATGTGATCAAATGTGCAGGATTTTGGTTAACTCAGCTTCAAAGCTTTTCCTGGCCTGCCCTAGCAAGCAGCTACTTGGGGCTGAGCAGAGGGCGACTGTAGGCAGGGCATATATGCACATGGCCAGCATGCAGCCAGGCAGGAGGGTGGGAGCAGTCCCAGCAGCTGCATGCAGCTGTGGGGGGTTGCAGGGCCGGGGCTTGGGGACCACCTGGGGGGCTGTGGGGGGGGGGGGGACGGGATGTGTGGAGG